ATAACAAGTTGCTGGACATTTAAAAATCTGCATTAGCAATATTGCTGAAAGTCCGTTCCAGAAATTGGTACAACCTTGCATCAACATAGCTTCCAAATTTGCTTAGAGGGCTGTTTCAGTAGAACATTTTGTTCCATTATTTTCGAATTAGGTACTAACCCACTGTACACTGTCACCCGGAACAATCCAATGCAATCATATAAGACTCGACTTACGTATATGCATTCTCTATTTCTGTAAGACAAGTGCGAGAATATTTTTGAATATCATTTTATCAGAATAAGAAATGCATTTTCCAGACTGAATACTCACTGCAGATAACAGAGAATACCAACAGACAACTGAAGAATAAGATAATCTGCGGATTTTCTTCGAATATTCGCAGTATTTGTTGAATAACTTGCCAAGATGAATGGATTTGGTGAAAGGTGGCGATATTGACGTTAGAAAGTTAGGTTGACCTGTTCTTCTCGTCTTGTATTTCTGTGAACTCTAGGCATTACGCTGTTGCCAGAGCCACAAAATAATTTGGGTTTAAATGAAATCTCGATAATTATTGAAAATATTAGGATATTTTTATCGATACTGAAGCATTCTGAAAGTAAATAATTATTCAATTAGTGATTATTAGGGACCATGGTAATTACTAGTTATTTGAGGTGTGCGACGTTATCGAGAGCTAGTGTATTAGGTATATAATAAGGTATAAGGTCCGATTTTGATTATTGAAAAGAAAAATTGCGATGATTTAAAAAAACGAATAATTGCATCAAATACTATTTATACACCTACCTCCTCTCACTGTCCTCCCTAGGTATGTGCGATCATAGGAATTTCCTTTCGTGCGCTCCAAAAGAAAAAAAAAATATATAAAATAGGTATGTGACGTAAATTTGACTGTGCGACCAACCTCATTACAATATCTTAATTGCATATTGTTGAAGGTGACAATTTAGTGAACTACAATACACATTGGGCTAGTATGGATTGATTTTGTTTCATCTACATTCCACTCTCTATACCTAGACAAGTTATAGAACAACAGAGTTTTGTGATTCTCTACCTAGGGAAGAATTTCTGAGAACTTATAATCCCTCAAAGTAAAAAAAAATCCTACCGTATCTTTTCATCCTCCATCATATTATATGCTCGATGGTCCACGAACCTTATAGCGATTGCCTTTCGTATGCTCCAGAAAATGAAAGAAAACAAGAAAGGCGATAAGTTATGGGGTATGACTTGAAAATAAATGAAGATCGAATAACAACATTCAAGTTATGTGTAAGAGTTACGTATATGCATTGCTTCTACAGTCCAGTGTATCTGTCCTAATCACCCTGTATTGAAGTCATAGATCTGTAAAGTGATGCGATAATCATAGTTTTCTGTTAGGTATCTATACCTCAATTACTATGATGGATACGTATGTACGTTTCGTTGTTATTGATTGTTTGTTCTATATGTATAATTATGTCGTTATTTTCCACCAGGTTTATCGTTTCAGTCGATTTTTTTTGCATCAGTTAATTTCGAATGGATTTAGCTGGGAGAACCCCAGGGGGTCTCCAAAAACCTTATTCGTTAAATTTTTCATATTTTCTCATGCAGATAAACTCGTCTCTGTTTTTAATATTCGCTCCAGTCGGCACAATGAGAGACCAGGGGCGGCCGCATTCATTTTATTGAAGAATGAAAAACTTGTTCATTTTTGGATTTTCTACCTACCTACCTACCTATCTATACCTACCAAACTGGAACCAATATAGACAGCACTCATCTGCCGGAGAGATTTATTCTCTGTCCAAATAAATTTGTAAGAATTGGCTATTTCAAAAGGCAAAACAATGCTAAAAGTCGTAGCCGATGCAGTCATCATTTTCATTGTACCAGGTGAATCAAATTCTGTTACATACTTCTGCAGTCACTATGCAGTATCAATGCATGCAATGCTTCAGGACATGAACTTGCTTCGCTGAGACTGCATAACAGAAATGGAAGCGAAATATGAATTCAATGAATAATATCCTATGAAAATGATTTTAAAATTGTGAAATTAATCAGATTTTTCGAATTTTTTCTCTTGCGACTTGACTGAGGGCTTGACAGTGTAAATGTTGGTATGTAATTGGATTAACAAAAATGTCATAAGCAAATGGATTTGGAAATTCAAAGTTATAGCACACAGTGAAATGCTTTTTTGTATTGTAATGAATAACGATAACGATATCTTTTGGAGCGCAAGAACGGATTTCCCTATTATGTTCGTACAACATCTTGATGCGTATCAAGGAAGGATAACGAGAGAAGGTGAAGGTTTTGGAATTCTTTTTATTTTTTCTGGTTACAAGAAAGAATATGAGTTCCCAACAGTGTTCCAATGATGTTGAGGAATTTACTGGGCAGGTGGCCGTGAGCGTAGAGTCGCTGGCTGTTGCCCAGGCGGTCCGGGTTCGATCCCCGGCGCGAGCACTGAATTAATTTTCGGTAGTTTCGTTGGGCGGGAGGAGATAGGTGGCCAACCCAACATTCTTGGTACCTAGATATCAATCCTTTGGACTGTCCACGGTTACCAGCCGAGTAGTGCTTCGGATGACACTTAAAAAGCTAAGGTCCCCGTCTTCTTAACTCACACAAGTCTCTGACTTTCGAGGGTTGCTTTGCAACTAAGCTGGCGGTTAAAAACACTTTTTTTAAATGAGTGTGGCATCACCAACCAGAATGATGACTCATCTCTGAATGGAAGTATGATCGTATGATCGCAGTTTTGGGAGGTCGTCCCGTTTCTGCAACCCGAAAACGGCGCCCCCTGCGCTCGTGTTTTGTTCGCAATTTGGCCGGAGTCCACCCCCTTCCCCTCCTCCACCGCCGACTCGATCCTCTGTTTTTCGACGTCGGCCCGGGGGAGACCCCGGTGCGAGCCGGCGGCGCGTAGATAAGAGAATTGCACTGTCAAGTCGGAATGATATATTTGACCAACATTTCCATAGAATAGGCGGTGGCACTGGCGGCAGGCACGAGGATTTCCAATGGAGCGAACGTGCGTAATCTGCACGGCTGGAATTAACGCCAAGGTCCCCCCATCCGCCCCCCCGGAAAACGCCGCCTCTATGCTCTCACCTTCGTTTACCCCGTAGTTATCTCACGCGTACACCTGGAGGTGTGCAGGAGTTCAGAGAATTAGAAGGCTGTGAAGGACAGAAGAACACTTTTCTCAACATTTAACTGTTCTATATGTACATAATATATCGGATTCTCATTGATATAGACATATCAATCATAATCTAAACGACCAGTTGAATAATAACAATAACAACAAGCGTTCAAGATACTTTGATAAGATTCGTATTCAGAATCGAATTGAGAAAAGAACCTCGACTCATATTTTTCTGTTTCTATCCACCGGCCCCGTTCTGCGCAAATACATATTTCTCATATGAGAACATTTTTCATATTTTCGGTCTAGGCATCTGCTTCCAAAGTATCGTCAGGAATGGAATACTCTGCACAAATTGGATGATGAAATTTTTAAAATTCATGAAAATCCTAGTTGTCCCAGTGTTACAAAACCTTTCACTCCGCTGAGTTTTTTCCTTGCAACTTTCAAACCACACAGTCATCACATCATTGTGATAACAATTCACCCCTCATGTGGAGACCGTGCGTCAGCAGCGTTTGCACAAACTTTCGATATATAGAGAGCGATCACGGCTCACGGGTCATTTGCCACCGGTTTCCGAGCGTGCAGCGGAATCCATCATCGTGACGTAGAACGGCGACCAATGAGGCGGCAAGCGTTGTTCTCGTAATGACTGCCGAGGCCTGGCTTAAGGATTTCGGATTTTGGGGGTACAAGACCAGGTGAAGTCGATCGGAACGAAGTTTGTCATTTCAAAAGGATCCCGATGAATCATTTTTGATGAGGAAAGAACATTTAATTCCGTGGCAGAATCGGAGTGGGAGCGAATAAAGTTGCAAGCTCAGATTCTAAACTGTTGAAATTGTCCTTGGAATCAGATGCGCATCATATTCAGTCCGTAACATATCTGGAATAGTTTGGAACCAGATACACAAAAACACGTTTTCTTGTTTTCTCATCTTCTATTCCAGAAAAAATGCTCTGCACTACGGGAATCGACGGCAGTTTTAGGGTTAGGTTGATGATAACGTGTATGTAGAATCCTGAGAACTAGAACATGGAAATAAACCTTCTCCACTGAAATATTTCATCCCTTATACAATGAGGCGGCAAGCGTTGTTCTCGTATAATGACTCTGAGGCTTATTCTTGCGTATCAGTTTCGTCAATAATGCTTCAACAACTCCATATCGGCGAAATACTCAGATAGGTAGCAGAATTCCTACTCCATCTTTATTCAGAGCTGGAATATCCACATTCTGATCAAGCCAATGACTTTCCATGGTGAAAACTGCCTTACTTCTTACCCAAGACCTCACATTCATCATGGAACCAAAGTTCTGGCGACAATCATGTGAATACTAACCGATCTGACTCTGATCTACAGATTCGTATACATTGTCGAGGAAACTAAATTGGATGTGATAGATTTACGACCTCCTGTGGTCGCAAGCTGTCTCGCTGCTTATGGTAGGTACGCTCGCTTTGTTGCTTCTAAACTTTTTACGAACTTGCATATACCGTTCTCACCACCCACGAATCGTTCAAGGTTCGCAGCTATCCTAATTTTAGTTCGCTGGCCAACGAGTAATTTATTGTGCGATCTACGCGATATTAATTTGCAGAGGGCAGATTTGCAGCGAGCGGAATTCGCCGCTTAATGGCCGGTCGCTAATATTTTAAATGATGTCCGCCATAATTTGTTTGAGCGCGATGATAATGAATGAGATCGAGAGACAAATTGCGCAGAATGTAACTGCCAGAAATATCTCGGCAATTACGAGATTTCGTAGTCAGCAATACAGATTCTTCCACAGTAAAGATGCGGGTGACGAGTTGTAAAAAATCACCATGTAATGACTTACCAGTTATTAACTTGGAGTATCGTTAGGCCCGTATCCTGCGCTAGCTGCTTTTTCTGGTCTTCCGAGGGGTAAGGATGCTGCAACAGAAAAAAGTAACAATCAATCCCCAGCCATTATAAAGTCCCCATCGTCAGCATTTTTGTTCGGTACGGGGCGTCACATCAGACGCGGTAATTTACGTGGAGGCGTTCTCGTCTCCATCGGTCCGACACGTGATTATCCCTGTTCATTGTGACGTAGGCGGTGCCGAAACGTGCAAACACGATCGTCCACCTAATGCCAGAAGGGAAAGATCCCGGTCCAGAGGTCCACGGATGTCGCAGACACGCTCGTCCATTCAAATCACGGAGGTTAAACGATAATCAAAGGATGTCCCCAATACCGTTAGGGATGGAAATTGGGGGGATGGAAGGGGAAAGATAGCGACGTGAGCTTTATGAGCGATTCCATTCGGAGGTAGAGCTCATCGACTCGTACTAGTTTTCCATCACATTAGCTTTATTTTAGTGGGAAACCAATGCGGGTGCGGTAGAGAAGGAAAGTATTTCAACTATCCACACTCTCATTCTATCTTATACTCAAGATTCACAATCAAAAATGATATCTTCAACCACTAATATAGCTAGTATTGATCTTACCGAAAGCGTCAAACTTTTATGTTTGAACTGAACAACGACAAAATCAAAGGGCAACACATCGACATGGTAAGCGAGGGTAAGGATCCTGAAGGATTTTGTTTCAATTTTTTTTCCCAATTCAATATGAGTTTTTCACAGGTAGATATTGTTATTTCGAATGCAAATATGTCCGGTGATGATAGAGGTGACGGTGACACATTCTGAAAAATATATGATGGCAGTTAATTGAATAGTTTTCCTTGATCCAGAAGATACTTTAATAGTTCTGTAGCCCTTTAGCCCTTTCTCAGTGATGATTTTCGTCAGGGTCATGCACTGTACGTTTATATCGAGAGTTGTCATTGATGATATTGTGGGACTATTCCTCATTTTTCCTCATCTGATTCAATCGAAAAACAATCGACAGTCCATGGTCTCATTGCTAATGAGTATTCAACTGTTTTGCGTGTGAGACCATACCGTAAGACTCGTAGTATCAATGTGGAGGCCGATCATTTATTTTAAACGATGCTGCCACGGTGTTTCCATGTTCCTTTCATTGCCGCCGACTCGTTCTCTGCTAGTGACGTTGTATTGTTGCCATCACTCTTGCAATATGAAGAGGACACATTTGACTTTGAATAGTTCAATACACAAAGTACTCAAAGTGGCAATTTGTCGGAATGCTTTCTTTCTCCTTTTATATTGGAGATTTAATCATGCATGTGAAAATAAATAAACATGATTGTTCTGATTTGTATTTGTGTATTATAGCATAACCCAAATTACTTTGTCGATTTCCTTTCCGAAATTCCTATTTCATATTCAGAATTCATATATACATCATCTCGCGTGTTAACCGAAAACATGTAAAATAGCCGCGAAGTTGTTTGTTCCCCTCAGATTTAATACCAATTCCGACACGTTCACATCGCAACGTGAAAAAAACTAGTCCTTCCGGCTACGGGATTTCATTTCCGGCGAAGATGCATCCGAGGATGGCTATATTTCCGGCAGAGTTATCCCTATAAATCCACGGGGAATCGACGTTGACATGTGTCCTCGGCGAAGGAACACAGATGGGATAAATGTATATATATATACGAAAGGATTTCGAACTGGTCGGGAATATATATTATGTACTCGGTCGGAGAGAGAGGTTTTTGCGATCGCCATAGGGATTGGAGTCGAGCAATTAGCCGACGACGGTTGTCCGTGAATGTATACATATAATGGGAGATAAGCAATGGGCACGCAACCATCAGAAACAAAATGATTCCGCGTCCGCCACCGGTATATACGGTCTCGCAGACATTTCGCATTTGCATATCGTGCAGGAATCGGAAGAAACGTTGGGAAAATTCACCAGATACCACGCAGAAAAAAAAGGGCTTTGATTGCGACCAAGTCGCACTACCAGAGGAACCTCAGACTACATCAAAAGAAAGATACCGTGATTCATTTATAAACTACTATACCAACATCATTTCAATGGGCACAATCAGTAACAGTAACCCAGACGTGGGGAATATATACAAAAGGTCGGGTGACGGGTATAGTTCTGACTTTCCATTATGTTCTTAGACGAACTATTGAAAAGCCTATAAGTTTTCGATCTCGCCAATACACCGGAAGCGCCGTCAGCGTCGAAAAACTGCGAAATTTTTGCACTTGTTCTAGTTTTTTCCAACTTCATGCTGACTGGTTTAAAGAGAAAAATTATTTATTTGTTTATAATATAACAGAAAATCATCCATCATTCTGGATTGTTATCGCCCTCATGTAAGCAAAAAACTTTTCCATTCAAATTTGGAGCAAATTCTCAGAGTTTCGAGGAATTATTAGTTTTCAGCTATTATTTGCGATTTTCCACTTCGAAAGCAATGGGTCTCCAGCGAAAGATGATCGGAACCAACTTTGAAGATGAGAAATTGAGTTTTAAGTCGAGATGTATGAGTTTCGCAGAACTTTCATTCCAGCAGGTAACTGGGTTATCTAAAATACAAAAAAATGACAAAAAATTGTGGAATAAATGGAAGCAGAAGTTTTCCAAGACAATGAAAACAAATCACACTCATGTCAAAAAAATCTACTGAATACAACCCCTCACTTTGACTTTTCAAATTGCATTTTGGGGCAAATCTTCTGATGTTTCCTTACTAACACGAAATTCATCCTCGGAAATTTCGAATAATTTCAATAATTTTCATGAAAAAATATCGATTTATTCAAGAAATAACAGTGTGTAAACTGTATAACAAGCCTGCAAAATCATTTAAGTCTTCATAATTTCGACTACAACGCTATATCTATATATGGTGATGGGAATGAGAAGTTCTATAAGATGAATCGGAAAAAACATGGGGGTGCAATTTGACAATCCTAAGTATGGGGTTGTTTCTAGTAGATTGTTTGATACAAGGGTGATTTGATATCACTATTCTGGAGAGCTTTTGTTCCCATAAATTTACCAAGTTCATGAAAGTCTTTGTATTTTAGATAACCCAGATATCTGCTGGCCTAAAAGCTCTGAGACACCAGGTATACAAAAATCAGAAGTATCCGACCTTCTGCATGGATGTAAAGATTGATTGAACTAAAGGAACCATCCTGCATACGTTGATGTTCGAATCTTACGTGTGATAACTCTCCTCGACTTGATTTACATCCGATGGTATATTGCCTCAGCACACGATGGGTGATGTGTGGGCTCAGGGGTGCATTAAAATCAGTCCGAGAGTGCGATCAAACTTGGGCCCCCCTTCAATTTTCTACCCGTTTCACATCCGACTCGTACGAATACGCAAATAATGGCAGTATGTGCGGAATCCCAGTATTATCGTAAAAATCACTATGCATTGAAGGCGGAGTGAGACAGAGGCGCTGCATAAGGGTTATTCCGCCCCGGAGAGACACTCAAGATGGGGTTATCGGTCTCCGAGGGCCTCTTCGTAGGTGTGATGGGGAATGGATGGCGGGCAGGTTCTTCTTCACGGAATTACGGCCGCAGAATCCGGTCCCCGGAGTGTATGCTATCGCATCGCCAGACACCGTCCTACCGCCTCCGGAACGGTTATTAACGCTTCCGCTAACGATCCCGATTGGAGATTACCTTTTATCGATGGCTCTTTCGAATACACCAAATTAGGAGACGTCAGCTCAAGATGAACTAGAATGGATCGCGTCCACATAAAGGACGATCTAGTTTGAGCAGCTATCAGCAAACACGTGTTTTTTTTACGACCTGAAATGTTGAGGTGCAAATAATGCAGTTGTGATTAACCATGCACCCGTTTCGTGCAGTTGAAGGGACTAAAGTCATCGGTGAAGAAGGGTATTTTAGGTTTGAAGCAAAGTGAGTGGGCCTATTCGGCCCTGCACTGCTACAGTACATCCAGTTTCTTGATGAAGCAGATCAGTTCACTTGGTGAATGATCTTTCAGGTCCGAGGACGAGAACACTAACATAAACTACAATCTAGATTCTAGACCGCTAATGCCATGCGAAAGAAGCTATACTATTCACGAGATCGAACTGGAGAGCATGAATCATGTGCATTTAGGACCTTTCATATTCATACTTATTCGTCCTCATGTTTCCGAACATCAAGAAACATGACTTTATGTCCTGAATGACAGTTTGAGGATTCTTGTCACATCCCTGTGCATTGGGCAATTTAACCGAGATTTTCGGGTTGCTGAGATATGACATAAGCGGTCTAGATAGTAGTCAAACAGCCAGCGGGGCAGATATAAAGTATATGCTCTGATGTTTCATCATCTTCAAGACAGAGACGGTACGCCGTATCATCGGACAGTCCAAGTCAGAAATATTATGACTCAGAGACGACAGTGATCTGTTTGTTGGCCTGTTAGTGAGCGTAGGTCTAACATTTGTTTGGGGCATTCTTTTAAGGATGTATGAATGCTTTGGAATGAGCCAATCTTGGTAGATTGTGCCAGAAGTCTACAACTCTTCATGTAGTCGAAGTGTTCAGACTATGTTCGGTGAAACATGATGCGATGCCAATGAAAGGTTTTGGTCCGATCGATTTCGCTATCATTTCAGATCGTCGGAGTTGGATCAAATCTCCCAACGATGATAATGAAAATCTTGAAAAGCAGGAGACCATCGGAAGAGAACACAAATCAGTCTGCTTCTTTCTTCGTCTAGTTGTCGTTATGAAATTAATGGTGGCAGCACACCAACTGAGACATCATCATAATTCTTTTGCAGATATTGGAGATACAGATTTTTGCCAACACGATGAAGGATTGCAGAAATTCCGTATAAATGATTGTCAGACCGTGAAAATTCGATGGAGAACATAATAGAGATAGAGAGAGGCACTGTTGGAGATACGTGAACGGTCTCCAGCTGAGACGCGATTCATTTCCATAAAATGATTATTATGAATGTGGCGTAGTGGAGCCCGGCTCTGCAGGAAATTAGGCCTTACGCTCGCCTTACCCTCACGTACAGCCAGGCCAGGGATTAGAAGCGTCCCCCTCGGGCCGTTCCATCTCTGCTGGTGGCGTTTAACGTTATCAGGCCGCCGCATGCATGCAAAGGTCCGGCCGGCCAGCCTTCGTATTCTATCCAACACCACTTTCTATATTATCATCTATCCTGGTAGTAGGTAGAAACGTATCGGCGGCGTGATATAAGACGGTCGGAGTGGCTCCCTCAGGAAATCCCGGGCGAATGCATCGCCCGTCCACCTGTCAGACGGAATTAAAGGATGGGAACGGGCAATTGGAGCCGCGGACCGGAAACCGTAGATAACGCTGAGTCTTCTTCGTCGTCTCTCCGGGGAACTCTTCTTGACCTCGGCGTTTTCAATATTTGATGGCGCGCCACTTTGCGACTCGAGCCATTCAACGGCCCTAAAGACTGGCCCGACGACGCATGAATATTTTAGCGGCTCTCCCCGTGTGAGTATCGCTCTCTGATCCCGGATTAGGTGCACGACTCATTAAACCCTGTGCGCTAAGTCCGGTATCGGATATTGCGAGGGAAGGACGCCGTACGATCGATAGGAGGACCCCGTATATGCAATGCAATTCCTCAATTTTCGGTAAGAGTGGAGCATGATACATTCATTGATAGATCGCCCTCTGTCCCTTGGTCTCAGAATAGAAAGGAGTTTCACCGTCACCACAATAGCGTGTTTCATTCATTAAGAAGTGTTACATAGTACCTACACACTCTTGCAATTGATGATACTAACGTTACTTACCGTTAAATGTTGAAACAGCCACGCTCTGAGTATATTGGTTGCTACTTTGGGAAATATGCCTCTCTTTTTTTGATTCTTTTTTCCGTTGGTATCGTCGTCTTCTTCGCCTGTACCTTCTCCACTACCGATACTCGCATTACTCGCATCCCCTAGAAAAAAAAAGTGAGATAAGAATTGTTGGCAGTATTTGCTTTTGTTTATTCATGTGTGGAGCGGGCATAAGATTTAATGTACTAGTGAGGGACAAGGCAGTTATATATGAGATGACATTTTTCTACGACTTATTAAAATTCTATTTCCATCGTGTCGATAAAGCCATGAGGAACTCTTAATTATAAGCGGGAAGAATGTCCCAGGTTATTTTCGTTGAAAATAAGTTCGTTATCACACATGTTTCGAGAGAAAGAGGAGAAAAAAAAATCGTCTCGTAGAATAAACATGTGCCTGTATAGCTTTGGAGCTGGTCCAAACGAACGGATTAAAATAATGTGTGTCGTGCGAAAACATAAAACGCATCATTAAAGAAGTCTCTCGTGTGAGTGCCACGAAGTTTTACTGATTTAATGAAATTTATGAGCCGGTAGTATCTTGCCATCAAAACACACAATGTGCACAACATATTTGGACCGCATTTTTTCTTCAGTTCATCTTCATATTCATCATGATCATCTTCTTCCATAATTGTTTCGTTAATCTGAAGTATACTAACCCAATACATACCTATTTCAGTAAATTGCAACATATATAGAAATAAAAATAACTTGAAAGTATTTTCTCAATTTGGTAATAAAGATATATCGTTTGTATTTTGTCAACATTATTGCAGAATATCCATTCAAGAGCACAAACAATACGTCAATACGTATAAATGCATATTATTAAAGCCTAATGCCGCTACAAGGTAACCAACAATGCACGTTAGTTTTGATTGGAATCGCCCATACGTATGTGTGGAGGAAAAGAATTGTTGCCTAGGTATCATGAGGTGCAATTTTCTTTAAATCGATTGGTCCTGAATTGGTGAATCCAAATATGTTGAACCTTAGTCTCGCATCCTTCCTTCCTAGGTGGTATACTTTTTAGACGACAGTGTTTTCCGTAATCAGTCCTGTCAGAATTCGCAGGTTGTTCCTGTTTCATTCTAGTATCTGTCTGGTTATATCTTCTGATGGTTTAAGCAAGAACAATGAACCAAAGCAGTACGTAAGTCTTTTTCCCTTCGCCCAGTCCGAAATAGGTAGTTATTTTGGTTCTGGTTCTATAAACAAAGCTTCTGTTCCCTATTTGGCGATGATGTCGGCTTTCTCGTTACTGTCTTCATTACAGAAATCATTGTCATCAACTGTTGAGAATTGAGTAAGCAGTGGTTCGCATTAACTCGATAGCAATTGTTGTAGATAAAATGTGTTAAATTAGTGAACTAGTAGGTCAACAATTATATCGATTTCAAAGTGTTTCAAAGGCGATTTGAGAATGTTTTCTAAGATTGAAACTGTTCAGATCGAGCTAATCGTAGACGAAACATTGTCGACATCTTGCGTTATGAGGCTGGACAGGTGTAGAAATTCATATCGTTCGCCGCCTACCATCTATACAAACCAAAATCACAAGTCGCGTCATATGGTTTTCACATGTGCATGTATGCACCGAAATACTCGGGGGATGCACTGCCTACTTGATGGACGGCAACCTAAACAAACGTCACTGTCCGGAATGACATTTGACAATCGGCCCGCTTCGGGCCATGGTAATAAGCTGCGAGCAATGAATAGACGATTCATCCGCTCTGACAGCCTCGACTATCTTTATAATAATCATTTACATAAAGTTACATGTGTTATTCCGAAGAGAAACAATGGGGGATATAAATTTCACCTACCTCGAAGAGATTCGGGAATAAATTTATGGGATAAAAAGCGATGGGAGCTTTGTTTGCTAATGGGTTGTTGATATCCAGATGATGTATGTGAGACGCTCGGATATTATGAAGGAAATCATCGGGAAAATTTTTGTTTGTAGCCGTATTCGATGTGATAGCCACCTACTGGTTCATTTTGATGAACATGATTCATGTTTGTAGTATTAGACTCCAAGTGATCGCCCACTTCGTGAATTTATAGGCATTAGAGATTCTGGAACAGATGTAGTTTATGCGATGAAGAAACAGAGATTTGGGTGTCATCGAGAGTCGAGTTTATTATAAAATTCTGTCAGAATGTTTGTCTATCGCTGTCATAATTCTTCTCAGCGCCTAATGAAAAATACAGGTAGCCATCATTAATAATTTCGTTGAAGCATTCGTTTTTGAATTACTATTTAGTCTTGGTGCTTTGTTTATCTTATAGAGAAGATTATCAATTGATTTATAATTTGATCACTTGAAATTACAAAAAAAAAATCTAGATTTTACCGACAAAACGATCCAAGAAAAAATTGCTTGAAACTCTGAATGAATTTTTTTATCGACAAATCTGAATGAACTAACTAACTTCTGTCAAGATGTGTTAACTGCGAAAACGAAACAAAATGCGAAGAATAATTTATTCCATGTTTACGAAAATATCCCAAAAATTTTTGGCGAAAAATTTTTTTTGAACTCAAATATTGACCAGTTCAATATAAGTTCAACCGCGTTTATGTACAAAATTTAGTAGGCAAGTAGACCCCACCTGTCAATCTGAAGTATCCGTAATCAATAGGTAATATGGTTGGAAATCAGCGACAAAATAGCTTAGTTTGAAATTTTTACTAGCAGAAAATGTCTGATTCAAGTTGAGGTTTTCCAAGTGATATCAAGGAAGCAGCCCAAAATGCACTATTGCTTTTCGTCTATATCCATATTTTGATTTCCTAACGGGTGTTGGAAATATGTTATCTCAGTAATGAAACATTTCACTACGCAACTGGTAACGTAAATAAGACGTTACAAAACTTCCGTCAGTTTTGAAATGTGTCAAATTGAATGTCAAAATCAGAAAAATTGTTATTCTACCTTGGCTATTATCTACCTACTAGAAAGCATTAAACTCTTTTGACGACATGCATTTTATCATCTCTCTCCAAACATACCGTGATAGGATATCACGGGTTCCCATTTTTGCTATATCTGGATCGACCCCCATGGAAAAGCCTTCGTTATCTCACGCTCGCTCGGCGCTACTGCCGACTCTAATTACAGTACGCAATTTTGCGGGTGCCGTAATGGCTCTCGATGCAATGCCGTCAAGTAAGCGGCGTACATGCAGAACCGTAGTCGAGGGTGAGTGAGGGGGTTAATGAGTCACACGCAAAGCGAAAGGGAAGAAATCAGATTAGGGCGAGAGAGCTGCGATTCTCGATCGACCCGACAATTTTGTCGTAGTCGCTGCTGTTGTTGTTTGCTGGAAGCGGAATCGCAGTCATTACCAGATACGCAAACACACGCGGTCGGCAGTCAATGGAAGACATCGCAGGACCCTCCCGCAAAGAGGGATCGTGAGAGTGCCATTGAATCGCAGGAGTCAAGAGGTTGTTTGGGTGGATGGGTAATGGATAGTGGCGTTTGAGGATTTCCAATTGAATATTATGGAAATTATAGTTTGATGATAACAACATTCATTGTTTATTTGTTATGAGGAGATGTTCTCTAAATATGATAACGGTTCAGATTCTCATTTCTTCGTGAAGTATAATTATGAAAAACTATGATATAAGTATTTTTTTCCATAGGCACAAATTCAGAAAATAATTCCAGAGAATCAGTTCTGGCTCCTTCTTTGTTCATCCAACACGAGCCATATTGCACTTCAGATGATGAATCTGACAGCAAACTACTTCAACTCATTCATCGATAGATATTTCGAACAACTTACTAGAACTAGAATTATCCAACATTCCAGGAAGTTATTATGCAGAATTAATTACTATTTATGGAATATTTTCACTACAAAATTGAATCATGAGAGAAGCAGTGCGGGGTTTCCAATTGAAAAAAATTATATTTTCATTGTTTTGTATTCACTTTCTGCCACCCACTTCTCTGTGCTCGCCCTGTCAATTTTTCAGTAGTTGTGATCATGGTGAGTGATTCGTTCAACCTTCAATATTCATTATTCAATAATTGTATATGACTCAAACTCAATTGATGAAAATTCATTAGAATAAGGGAGCTGTCTTCTTCAATCTGAAAGGCAACAAAATGCCGTTATTTTTTCTTGAAAACGGTAAATTATACGAAGTTGGTTAATTTAGACGAAAGTAACCTATCTTAGTGAACTATGAAATGATGTTTCCAAATCGGAAATATTGCAAAAAGTATATATTTCTCTTTAGTACCAAATTCATAATTGCACATAATCTAATCAATAATTTGAAGATGATATAAAATAATTCACTTCTTCATTTCCGAAAGATGATGAGGATTACATTCGAGGATCATTCCTCATTCAGGTATAACGGAAACATATAACTTATGGTTGAAATATTTAAAAAAATACAAATGTACTCGCATATCTCAGGACGTTGACACTTTTTAGTGATGAGTTGAAAAATATCATGGCTCATGAGTGACTGCAGTCACTTGATCTTGATTTTGGACACATCATCATCTCTAAGAAACACCTTGAAATCGCTATTTCGAACTCATGATCTTGCATTGTGATGATGATTCTACATGAAGAATATCGGAAAAATTTTCGCTAATCGTTTTATGAAAACAGTATCTTGCAGAAAACTTGAAGTAAAGTACGGCGATACAGCAATCAAGCACCCCTTAACTACATCGAGAAAATACCATTGTGAATCACAATATAAAACGAACTCGGTGCATTCTCTAAGAGCCGAATTTTCTTTCTTAGCAGAGACTATGACTTCGTCCATAGAGTCGTTAATCTATGCTTCGTCCCAGGATAATTACGCTGAAATCGCTATTTTAACTTATGATCTTCCATTGTGGTAACAATTCAAGTTAAAGGATTCCGGAAAACCTTCGCTAATGGTTTTATGAAAACAGTGCCTTGCAGAAAACTTAAGAAGTAAGGTACGAAGATACAGCAATCAAGCACCCCCCCCTACATCGAGAAAATACCATTGTAAATCACAATGTAAACGAACTGCAAGAGCTGAATTTTCTTTTAATCATCTTTTGTCCTCTCGCCATCTCAGCAGAGACTTTGACTTCGTCCCGGGATAATTACGGTGAACGGAATACAATGCAGTCCGCAATCCCTTCTTTCGAAGAAAAGACAATCCCGAACGTTTTCGCAGATAACAGTTGATTAATGGCCTTCGATATTCGTGGCCGGATCATCCGACGCGACGACTGGTTTTTGGCGATCCGAACTCGGATAAGGATGGACCAGGAATGTTCGATCGCGATATACACGGACCCCAGACAGGGGCGAAGAGATGAACAGAGCCAGATTTATCGCCGGGTACTTCTAAACCCGTATAAATCCATCATCACCAGGGAGGGAGTCAGGGTGCATACTGATTATCTATTTTTCCTTCTCCCCGGCATCAGCTCCGTTTAATTCCATCGGAGTTATATTTTAAACATCGCGCTACATCGAAGAAAAATGCCAGGAATTTTTTAATGATATTACATTGTTAGGTCGGATTGTGCCTATGGGTGATGCATAAATGCAAGAGATTCCAGTTTTATTGAGTTATCGGTAACGATGGTGATTTGATTGATGATAAAGACGATTGCCCATCCCAGATTTATGTTCTCTGAGGGATTCAGGTATAATAGGTTAGGTATACACTGAAGAAACACTGTGCTATTTGCAAATAGTCACATTTTTGAAAACACTCACATTTCAAATTTCATTAAAATCTAACTGGTCCTTATATACATTCAAATCAAATGCTATAATCAAAATGCATGTCCTATATAACAATAAATGATTATTAGATACCAGGAGGAACCAATGTCTCCTGTGAATGTGAATACAGTTGTCATTCATCCTATTGGCAGCTTCCAAATATGTAAATATGCTTCATTACTTGTTGATATCATCAATTATCACTATTGGTACAAATCGGTATATCAAGTCATGTAAAATAGGTATGTGGCGTTGATTGGACTGAGGTTTACAACCCTATTGTTGTTTGATCGCGGCTTTTTGAACAGTATAGCCTCATTATATAATTGTTTTTATCTGTGGGGATGAAAAAACAAATGGTTAACAAGGTACCTACTAATGATGTGAAATCTATTGTAATATCTATCGGAAAAATAATCATGTTTGTGGATAATGATCACGAAATAGTATATTTCTAGATACGCATTCCTCGTTATTTTATGTTTACTATATAGTGAACTCCTCTATGTAGGTTTCTGTGTCTTTCTGTGATTGCGAATACAGCTTTTATTTGGCTAACTCGCTACCTTGACGCAAATCTCACTCTACTTATTCGAATTATTTCATGCAAAAAATCAAACACACCCGCTGATCAATGAGACAAAGGCTACTGTGCTGAAAACACAACACAACTGTTCAAATTTTGCATAATTGAACCTTCACAAAGATAAATATGCAGTACTGATGGCATGGCCAAATGAGTAGGTATCATCTTTCCACAATTTTTTCTACAAAGGCATACCTAAATCTAGCTGATGAATAAACCAAATTCATATTATTGCAACTTGTATAACTCTCTTTCTCGGGGCCATCACTATCCGACGATGCGCCACAAACATAATAAATAGGCGGCTAATATCTCACATCTCCTCTCCTATTGTCGAACGACTTGGGAATCAGCCCGAAGCTATAGAAGGTGGCCAACTATAGCACCGCACCGAACGAATGCCCATACCATCCGGCCATGGCGGGTACCATAATGACGGGGCCCGTCAATCACCATTGGACGAAGCATACCATCGCGGGTCATCTCATCGAACCGTGAGGAAGACGTGAATTTCGCTGCTCGCACATACCCTCGAGGCTGTGGCAGGATCGCTTCATATCGTTTATAATGAACGTTATTATCGTATTTACATAAATTATGATGACGTATAAAAAGGTAATAATCTGTAATCGAGGGTATATAATGTACGGAGTGACTTGACCTTAACGGAACTAGGTAGGATTATTAGAAATTGTGTTCTATGATGCAGCAAGTCAAGATTCTGTTCATGCGGGATATAATAAAACCGCAATCGAAATAAATTGATAAAATTAATGATATTTATGGACGTTAGTGTCACGTTCAACACGATTAATATATTTTTTAAATTAAAAACTCACCGAGACTGAAGCTTATGTTAACAGACCTTGCATCCAACATTATTCCATTGGAATGTTTGCATGGGAAGAACTTATGATGAAGTTATCCTAAACATGATATATGAACTTTATGTTAGTTTCTTCGAATCTCTCATGGATACCTGCTTACCAAATCAACATTGGCAAACTATAGCAGAAGTCAGAAATAGTTCCAATATAATGATGATACTAATAATTTCATTACGACAGATTGTGACTGATTTAAAATCGGCATCTTCCAAAATCGACAGCTTCCTATTACGTTATATACTTATTTGCACTAATAATCAATGAGAGCATAACCCACACATTTCTATGCTGCCAAATTTATCTATAAGTACCATATAAAATTCAATATGACAGTTATTGTTCTGGACTTCGAAATAATGAAATCAAATTTTTCGCTGAAACAGGCTCGTTGTAATTATTGGCAAGATAGACCATCATATATAGCAAGTCTGTGGAGATATAGCCGTGCTTGATGATTAAAGATATTTCAAGAATGTAATGATCTATAAGGGAACTCGAGATATTTCCGTCAGATTAAGGATCGTTTCTTCGAATTCTTTATACCTACTCATAGCTTCACCTATCAAACGGAATTATTTCCATTCTTATACCTACCTGTTGCTTGTTCTCATCCTACTACCTCATTAATATTTTTTTCGTTCCTAGAATGTGAACAGATAATTACTAGGTTTGTTAATAACCCTCTTATAATAATTTTAATTATAACTTTCCAACAGAAAACGCTCTTTTTTGTTTCCTATCGTACTTAATGGGAGAATGGAAGGAATGGGAAAGAAAAATGGGAAATGTTAAGATAATACTATAGTTGAGGACGGCCTAAATATTAGTTTCTTCGAAAAAGATACATCTTTGGTGCCTATACATTCAATGCGTGTCTCATTTTCAAATATAACAAATCCAAAAGAAAATCATTATATATAGCTAACACACTCATTATGAGGATGTAATTATTTCAAAGAACACCAAGAACCTATATATACAACATTGTATGAGAATACTACCTATCGACACTAATGACAGTGGAACGGATAAGAAAATAATTACAACAGCAGCATATAGAGTTGTAGAGGAAAATGCGAGTGAATATGGGGAAGGGATCTAATATTTGCGGTAGGTTTGTATAAAAGCCCTTCATCTGTGCATGGACCTGTCAGTGACAGGCGGACAAAGTGCACGCGGCTGGGTTTTTCGACAACAGATCCTTTGCCACCCGCCCGTGGGATAATGACTTTCTACCAATCTTGTTCGCATCATCACGATTGTTCAGTACAGTCGCTGTAGATATTTTGATAACTCTATCTACTATACCAAACCAGCAGTTTTTACGAAGATTTACAAAAATTGATTTTGCATTGCCACTTCTGCATTTATGGAAAGGATTTTACTATAATTTAGTACAGTTACTTGCGAATTTCGGGTTTCCTCACATTACAGTCCATGATGGCGGAGTTCCGGTTTTTATGGAAACACTATCAACTTTGTTTTTGCAAATGGAACATCTTGTATATTTTTACAAATTCAAGTTCTATAGATCAATTTGAGTTCAAACGTTATGACAATTGTCATTCTGTTCGGAACAATTTTTGAACCAAATCCGAAAGAAAAGAAATATATGCATACAATTCATATCTGCACCAGAATCTAAAAATTGTTTGTCATTATTTTTCTGAATGTATAAAGGTATGTAGAAGAGAATTTGAAAATTGTTTTTTTATATAAAGTCCTCTTTATGTGGAAATGAAGCTAGTTATATATGAACAAACAATTTCGCAATTTCACATGTTGAAGATAAGGTGATGAAACCTTATCAACGAATGCAAATGCAAAAAAAAAGTATTGTCTAGCCTGCTTTGGATTCGTAAGTATAAATATTATGAGACATAAGTTTAATGCAATTCAATATTAGGTTAATTTATTGTACCTACCGGTATTCCACTGGAATATGTCGTGTTTTTGATAATTTTGTGAAAATCTCATTATTTTTGTGAGGTTTTCTATACATTTACTATTTCAAGGAAGAAAATCGGTTATATAACTATACTGATCTTAAATACAAAGTGTAAATGAATAAGTGCAAAACATTTTAGGATATAATTTCTTGTCATGTTTTATGAAAAAGATTGAATCTAAACATTTGCTCCATTTTCGAGAAACAGGGTATCCATTTTTTCATATAAAAAAACGTTTTTTCATTAATTAGGTATCGATACTCATAAGTCTTTTTTCAATCTCAGTGAAACTTGATGGTTTTGTTAACAGTAAGCATGAAGCTTCTCTGGTGTGATTACTGTGATTTGATTCGAAATGATAGTTCCAGTGCTTCCTATAAGTATATAATATGCATTTAAAAACATGCCTTATGGACATAGTGTTAATGCATTGTAAATAATAATTGATATTAGCATTTCCATCGAATAAATAAAAAATATTCATTGAACTGAATTATCATAATATAGCATGGCATACCTGATGAAGCTTGCACAGCTAAATTCCGCACCTACCTACAATCATTCTGCGCGAAACTCCGCCTTGTAAGGCAATAACAAGTGCATTCAGTAGGTAATAAGCCCTATTAGCCGTTTAATTTGCACTAGCCGCGCCAACTCCAGATAGCAAAGTAAGTATATGGCCGGACTGTGAGAATGCTAGAGGGGCAATGACGATGACGTAGGAGAGGAGATCTTGGCAATTCGAGGCTGACCTCGACAGGTGACCTGGTGCAAGAAAAGGAGACCTTCTTTGATTGGGCCATCTATCACGGCTGCCCGCGTAATTGGTTCTCAGGCCGGACTGGACTTCTTCTTCTTCTTCTTTCTTCTTAGCGGGGATGCCGAATGGTGATTGCGGGGGGTGTGTGGGGTATAAGGGGTATCGATTTGCGCGATGCACATTTTTAGTTTCATGCTTCAATGGAGCTGGGAAGATATGAGGACAGATCGATTCATGTTCGAGGAATTGATGGGAAAATGATGAAAGAGAGGTTGATTGTTCAATAAACAATCAAGGGTTCAAATGTTCATCATCGTATTCATATTATAGTATAGGTATTCGTTTCTTATATCAACAATAAGTTATACCGTGGTTTAATATACTTACCATGATTGCGATTGCTGTATGATAGAATACATTATATACATGCACGAAGATAAAAATAACGGGTGATTATAATATAGAAACAGAAAAGATGTGCATTTTATTAACGAAAAGGCATCAAAACACCGGCCTCGGATTGCTTTGTTATTTCCTCAATTCGGATTTGAATATGCTTCCTATCAAACTAGTTGTACGCTTGTAGTATATTGGTGTTGGTATCTTTTTCACTAGGTGTCATGTGATTCAACTGATGGTGATTTAGATTTTGATTGAAACAACTACCTATATATAAAGTCTGTTCACCCGCGGACCCGCATGGTGGTTTTATTTCAATGTAATTTAAATACGTCCCTACCAATGAGAATTCGATGCATACATGTACAATTTTGAAAATAAAAAACGTACAGTTATCAATTTAAATAATTGACGGCGAAAATCGTCAAAGAATGTGATTGTGATGTAGAAGTTCACCAAGCAAATGAAAGCATCTGATTGGCTTTGGAAATTAAAGCTATGAAATTTTGAACAAGATGATGATTGGAAGTTATTATTGACGATATGAATTTTTGTTGAGTATGCAGAATGAAAAAGCAGTAGGAATGTTTTAATTCAATAATAATTAACTATCTGTTAAGTGATGGTTCCCAATGATTATAGGTGCTTCAGCAGTAAATAGCATGATCAACCAATTCGTGTTGGAATTATAGATAGTATGATTATTAAATCACAATCGAATGCTAATCGTGAACCTGTGCTATTTACATTATGGTCGTTAATCTTTTATTGATATTGAAGTCGTGAACAACATCATTTAAATGTCAGAAAGCGCTTGATGAGAAGTTGTAGGTATCTAATTCATTTTCAACAAGTTATTGGACGGGTGTGAGTATGGATATATATATGTATGCATCAAATTCTATTATTCAGATGATAATGAAATAGCAAAGTGATTCGCTGAGTTAACATCCTATATTCGATATACCTATCTTCGCTGTGAAATAGAATTTACAAAAAAGTGTAAGTATATATAGGCATTAGATGAATAAACAACATGTATTTATGATGAAATGAATAAACTGTGAACCTGAAATTTCATATATCATATCAATGCTGTCAGCGTACTTGTTAATTATAATCATTTAATCAAGTAAACCTTCTTAGGTAACTGATGCATGAGTTACAAATTCTTGGTGATTATTGATGGGAGAATATTATTTTCTGTCGATTTCATACTAAGAATTAATTTTCCGTCGACCCCCTATTAACGAGTGAGTTTAATGTTTTTGAAATTGATCGTTAATGGCCCCTATTAATGATCAATTTGTCTATTAATGCATACGATTGTAGCATAGGCAACCAACCATACACGACGCCCATTCACTGTTTATGCTATATAACTTACGTTATCTGCATTTTAATCAAAAATATGGATTTCATCGAAGATTTTCGGTTAGCCTTCCCAAGTTTCTGAAACAATTTTAATCCCTACTTTCTGGTTACCCGAGGAATTCATTTTTTATGTTGATTATTTCGACAAATAATGTCAAATGTAACTAATGTCAGTGACAAGGCTACTGGGTGATTCTCAGTAGTTTCCGAATGAATGATGAATTGATCATTGAAAAGAAAAAAGTGTAGAGGCATCTCTACCTTAACCTTACGGCATCTCTCCCGTAAAATCAGGTAGAGATGCCGATTTACACACTGTGCGACATTTTTTTTGCATTTAGTTTAAGGAATGATACTTATGTGCCTTGTTTACCAAATGAATATTACATCCGATGGCATCAGTTTCATTACTTGATGATTATTGTGACATTAGTAAATCAAGAAAATGTGAAAAATCGGCATCTCTCCCTGAATTACCCTATGTTATAATAAAGCGCACGTTGATAAAGT